ATAATTAATTAACACTGATATCTCAATTACTGATCATCACATTTGAATAAAATTTGGTACATAAATGCTCTAGGACAATAGACAGGCCTGATTAATTTTGGGTTAAAATTTGTTCATATTAATTCTCTAATTAGCATAATAATTCATAATTTTTTTTGTTCTGTTCTGTTCATATTAGTTACCTGATGTACATAATTAGTTTTCAGCTTTTCTATCAATATCTCATGTACAAGTAATTTTGAATTAATTTTTAATGTGTCTTCAATACTCTCAGCACACGGGAGTTCTTTCTAAGCTTTCTTTGATTACTCTAGTTAGTATTTGACCTTTGTGTGAAGTCACTGTATGGTAATTAGATCTGTTCAAACACATTTGTCAGTTTATACTGTGAGCAGTAATCTTCTCAAATAGCTGCATTGGGTTAACTTTGTACAACTATGTGTGTCATTCCATTTCCATTGTGTGACTTGAGTATGTTTTTCCATCTTATTATAATCAGGGCCATCTGGAGTTTATTATTAGAAAATGTCTTCTATTTATACTTTAGTTAACGTTTGATCTTTGTGAGAAGTCATTGTATGGTAATTAGATCTGGTCAAGGTTTATATTCAAGCTCAACAATTGCTTGAGCTTGGTACACATCAGTCATCAGTACAAACACATTATTTGAGTTTACTTAGTTTGTTAAACCAGTCTTGAGGGTCTGTGGTTAAACATTATAAGATAGTATTCTACTGTAAGCAGTTGTACTCCGTACTAATCCTCATTGTTCAGTGAGTTACGTACTAAGTTCAATAAGTTTTGTAAAGTTGCTACTGTACATGTACAATAAATTATATTTATAGAGTTCACATATAATAATTATACTGTAAGTTGCTATAAAGCATATTCAGTATTCTTCAGTGCAATAAGTTTTCTAAAGTTATTACTGTACAATCAGTTATAAGACACATAAAATAATTGTACTATAAGTTGGCATATATAGTAGTATATTTATGGGTATCTAATAACACATATAAATCAAAACACTGTGCACTTCAGAACCATTTACTATTTTACAATTTCCAATCACATATTCTAGTAATGATTATTTTAGTGAAGAACCAATACATGAATATTCAAGTAGTCATTGCAAGGCAGTTCATGAAATTGTCAAAAATGTGACCAATCAAGTATTACCACCATACTTTGTTATACAGTTGAAACGTTTTTCAAATTTGGGGAATAAACACCTGTCAGTTATTCAATAAATTTAAAAATGTCTGAGTATGTAACCAACAGTTACTATAGTAATACTTCATGCTTCAAGTTATATGGTGTAATAGTACTTCAGTCTAATCCATTACCGGTACATTACTATGCCTGTATTAAAAAATCTGATAATAACTGGTATAAATTCAATGCTGACACTTATTGATATTACATGTTACTGCTTATATGACTGTTTATCAGTTGTTAGAAATAAATATTATTTGTTATGAATCCACCAATTACAGTCAGGAACCATGTCATCTACTTAGTTGGCATGATTTATCTACTGATGTGAAAGATCATGTACAAAATAAGGCTGACTTAAGTTCGTCTCTTCAATATGATGTTAAATAAAGATTACACAAGCAAATTGAGCTTGGTGAAATGAAAAAGAGGCATGTAAAAGCTGATGTTATTGATCGTACGAGGTAATATGCATGTACAAAACAATATATGAAACAGAAACGTAAAAACCAATGTTATCGTCAATCAAAAAGTCAAATATCCCACAACTGGAGAAGGAAATATATTCAAGGAGATTAAGTAAGGCAATTATAGAACAATTGGAAAAGTAGAAAAATCCAATGAGATTAAAGAGGAAAAATATAGAGCAATTAGAGAAAGAAGAATGCAATGAGATTACACCAAAAAATCAACAACCCTCCCCAAATGTATAGATTAGAGTGGTATTTGGTAGTAAGAAATAAATATTATGTTTTAACAATTCACTCTTTCAAGAATTTAGCCAATTCTTCGTCTCAACTTAGGGTTTCAATAGTTTTGCTATGTTTTTTTACCTTTGTGAATCATGGCAAACCCGCCGGCGAATCTCCGGGATGAATCTGTATTCCATTATACACGACGTTCAGAACTCCTGGGAATCCCGTCGCAAATAAGATTTGCTTTTCATGTATTTGTACTTGGAATGGGATCTGTTTTTAGACGGGCATGGGTACCCGTGCTCTAATTCGAGTGCCCCGACCAAGGATGCCCGCATCAAATTCTTTTGCAGCTTCCACATTAATTTGATATGCCAATTCAATCAAATGCTCCAAGAGCACTCTGGAATTTCTACATTTTTCATTCGTGGCAGCTGGCAAGATGCCTAGTTAATGACGTTTTCGCATGTATCATGTTCGAAGATAAATATGTGCTAAAACGGCGGTTTTCTATAATATAGCACACATATCTCGTGCACTCGCATCATTTGCATATATCTGATATTCTTGTACAACGAATGACTAAAATTGACATTTGTTTCTCGTGTTTGGATTGTGTTGTTTGTACCCCCCCAGAGATTTTGTGAACTTATTTTCTGATAAAGTATAATTTAACATATCCCTCTTACGCATCTACAGGTTAATATTTAGCTTTGGGGTGGTGGTTTGTAAAGTCAACAATATTATTCAGACTCAATATTGAATTCACATCAATGCTCATATGAAGACACGAGTCACGGATAAGTTTTCTATTGTAATTTATTATTTAAATTCACTGTTTAAAACAATCCTTGTACAAGATTTGAAAAGAGCCACGTTAATGATAATAGCATATTCTTATTGAGTGCCAGCAACCTGTAAACAGAAGTAATATTTACCTAATAATATACCTAAACTTTGATAAATAAAAGAAAATGACATGCTCCAAAATATCTATTGATTTTATTTTATTTCAGTATTATTTTTATATCATTGTTTGTATAATATGAACCATAACATTAACAGGTACAATATACATACGAAATAATTTAATGCATCAGAGAGAACAGGGTGAAAAATATCAAGCTTCTGTACTGTCTGTGGCAGCTTCTCAGTCCAATAATAATATACATACCAATGCAGATGTTCACACAAAAACATCTATATTTACAATTCTATCCCTGCTCAAAATATACGGCTATGTTTTTAAATAAAGTCAAGTCAATGCAATTGTAGAGAGAGAGAGAGAGAGAGCGCGCGCAAGTGTGAAAATGCGGTTTAAAACAAAGTAAATTGCCAAAGCTGACCGAGGGCACTATTCGAACTCGTAAAGGTTGTCATGACGTGCGGCCGGACGATTAATTTGTTTTTAAGTAGGGTAGTCAGCGTTGCAGTAATTGGCGCATACTGTGTTGTACCGTCGTCGTGCAAATATATAAACATATATAAACATAAAATAACGATTAACAATATTTTAGTGCATGTTCATTAGCTTCATCAAAGAACACCAGTCTCAAAACAACTTGATCTTAAGGATGTAGTAGAGGTTTTTTTTCTTCAAAAATATCAAATTTAATTTGTTTCCATATTCTCTTATACGAATATATAAAGCATGCATTCAACTAGAAAAAAAACAATTGTAGCGATGGTGTAAGAGGGTAATACATTTTGAGTAAATCTTACAGTGTTTTATGTTTTTTTTGTGATTTTTCACGCTTAAGTAAACATCGGTATTCGGGGTTAGTCTAGAGAGTTGATCTCGACTCCAAGCTTTGGCATAGGTATTACCACTTTAACTTTAGAAAATACGACACAACTCTACCCTTTCTGAACTCTGACACTGGGTATCATATTTCAAAACAACGCTGACAATGTTTTTAAAAAGTGTTATGAGGTAAAATTCTAGGTCACGCAACAGTAGACAAACTGGGAAATTGAATTGAAATCTTTTATAGTATCTCTAAGTACCACGAACATCATTTCTGTGGCCTTATTTCAGTTTCTACGAAAATAACACCTCTCCATTTGCAGTGATCACGTGATTACATGGTACCATTTTTTATTGGAGTATTTATTTCATATTATTTGAAAAATAAGCTTTCTAAAAGTATATAACTTAATGGGATTCGAAGAATATGTTACTTCAGAAATGTGCTATGCAAATGCAATAGAAAAAACCTCTACTACATCCTTAAGAGAGAATGGCAAATACTATAGCAAACATTTTTTTTTTAATAAAATGCTTTTAAAATAAATGTAAATTGTTTCCAATTATTACCATCATCTTTCAGAGACAAGACTATAATAACAGTATATATACTTTGTATTTATAAGGCATCAGAAGCATTTCCTATGCACAATTTGTTCCCCTTGGTCAGCGTACTCGTCCACCGTCACCCATCTATCCATGAAACTACTGTGGGATGCCAATATGGAGCCACCGATCCAAGCAGAGTTGTCCCTCTCCGTCGGCGCACTCACTGACATATTCAAATTGAGTCCTCTTAGTTCCTTTTGTAGTCTTGGCAAGAAACCTTTCAGCTTCGTATTTCCACCAGATAACAGCAACATGTCCTTCAGCAGTGCGCGGATTTCAGGATCACACCTACGAAACGACAGGTGATAACGTTAAAAAAAAAAAAAAAAAAAAAACCCGGATGCATGGCGTGAACAAGCCCCAGCGTCTAAATGGTTTTAATTTGAATTCCACTTAAATTTGTCAGGTATTTAGGAAATGTTCGTATATTTTCTGCCATGTTTTGAAGCATTTTAATGTGTGTTTTCCCGGCATTTTATTTTATGAGTAGTTGTTTAAACCTTGTTGAGACAGTGGGTGACTGGTATTTTACACAATAGTCTATACATGCACTCAGTGATACTATACTGTATACATGCGATGGCGTCATGCTGTTATCGATACAGAATGTGTTGTATCAAAGAAAAGGAACATTTTTCACGCCTACTGAATACCAGACCCAGCCAACTAAATGTCTATTGTTAGAACGAAAGGTCAGAATTAAATAGTTCTTAGTGAGCCAGGCAGGGTTGCACAAAATATGATAGATGTTGTGGACCAGGGTGCCGTCATGGAAGGGCTCCACTGAAAGTTTGACATTAGCCCCGAAAAAATCAAACCTAAAGGCCAACCACTTTAGTGCGTAAGGTGTCATTTTGATGCAGGAATGATCTCACATTTAAAAGTTTTGAAGATGGACCAAAGCGTATATTTATTATGCACACGTTGTATTTAAGTGTATCCCCCACATAACAGTCAATATCGGATCAAATACTGCATTTCCATTTATAAAATAAAGTATACAAGTTTTGAAATCTATTGCTCAAAACTCTGGATCAAAACGTATCGTTTCGAGATTTGTATTCTTAACACAAAAAAAAATAATGAAATCCCAAAACGGAAAGAAAACTCTTTTGGTATTAAATTAGCGCGATATACCTATACTATAAGGAAGAATACATCTGCGATCAAAAAATCCAGTTAAGAGAAAAACGTAGTTGATCTCTGGTGACCTTGCTCTTTGTTATATAATATTATTCCCTTTATCATAGTTTGTTTCAATATGGATATGCATTGGCATAATTAAATTTGAAAAAAAAACAAGTTTTAGGGTTGAAAAGCAGTTTACCGAATAGGAAAGCAGCTTACCGAATGTCCGTGAAAGATGTAAATATCTTATAAAAACATTGGCGCCTAATTTGTTTAATTATTTTAAGGGACATAATTTCTAGCTTTATTAAAAGTAATTCAGATTTCTTAGTATAAAAACAAATGCCTCATCTCAGAAAAAAAGTGCTGCATTTAGACGTGAATAGATTCATAAATCATGCAAGATACCAGAAAATCCTAGCTGCCTTTTGACCAAGTATTTTGTACAGGTGTTTGGCAAAGATTAATGATTCACTGGGACAAATATGAACTGCCTTATTATATTCATTGTGTGACTACAGCATTATTTGAAAAGTAAAAAAAAAACGCCCTCTATAAATAGCTATCA